AAACCATCATTCTCAGCAAACTATTGCAAGAACAGGAAACCAAACACCACGTGTTCTCACTCATAGGTGGGAACTGAACAATGAGATCACTTGGACTCGGGAAGGGGAACATCACACACCGGGGCCTATTATGCGGAGGGGGGAGGGGGGAGGGATTGCATTGGGAGTTATACCTGATGTAAATGACAAGTTGATGGGTGCTGACGAGTTGATGGGTGCAGCACACCAACATGGCACAAGTATACATGTGTAACAAACCTGCACGTTATGCACATGTACCCTAGAACTTAAAGTATAATTAAAAAAAATAAAAATTAAATTAAAAAAAAAAGATTGAGGTGTTATAAAACACAAAGGGAGGGATTGAAACCACCTTTGCAAAATGATGACGGAGACAGTGAAAGAGATCTAAATTAATTCACTCCATCTTGCTTCTAACCTGTAAACTGTCCTTGTCCATTCTTTTTTTTTTTTTTTTTTTTTTTTGAGACGGAGTCTCACTCTGTCGCCCAGGCTGGAGTGCAGTGGCCAGATCTCAGCTCACTGCAAGCTCCACCTCCTGGATTTATTCCATTCTCCTGCCTCAGCCTCCCGAGTAGCTGGGACTACAGGCGCCCGCCACCACGCCCGGCTAGTTTTTGTATTTTTAGTAGAGATGGGGTTTCACTGTGTTAGCCAGGATGTTCTCGATCTCCTGACCTCGTGATCCGCCCGTCTCGGCCTCCCAAAGTGCTGGGATTACAGGCTTAAGCCACCGCGCCCAGCCCCTTGTCCATTCTTGCACATAGACTGAATTAACCTTGGGAGAAACTTAATTTATAGTTTAAATCAAAGACGATAACAGCCCTTTCCCACAGCAGACCTCCTTCTCGCCTGAGGACTAAATTGCCTTTGTAGGGCTAATAATAACCACAAGATAAGAAATTATGGTTGAGGAGTCATGTAGCTGGAGGGTACAAGATTCTGACCCTCCCTAAACTGCTCCTGAGATCAGTGCTTGAGATATTTTGCAGACCCTGCATGTGATGGATCAGCAGACACCACCCAGATGGATACACTGGCTCATCTGACTTATGGCCCCCACCCAGGATCTGACTCAGTACGAGAAGACAGCTTTGACTCCCTGGGATTTCATCACTGGCCAATCAGCACTCCCGGCTCACCGGCTTCCCACGCACACACCAAGATTTCCTTAAAACTTCTGCTCCCCAGATGCTCAGGAACATTGATTTGGATAATAATAAAATTCTGGTCTCTTGCAAATTAAAAAATCTAAACAGTACAGCATGTTCTTTATCTCTGTATATTATCTGAAAGATAATTTTCAGAAAAAGGTGAAATCATGACTTGCACCAAGATATTAAAATGCACAAGTGTTAAATATTTCATTTTACACATATGTTAGGAGGGAACTAGGCAGAGGTCACAAATAGTTTAAAGGAAAAGCGAAAATGATACAAATTTATATGGAGTAAAGGAATTTTGAAATGAACTGCACATGGAAAGAAAACTGTTTTTCATTTATTTTTTAAATTTTTTACAGGACAAAGAATCCAGTAAAAATCACTACTATACAGGGTAGAATATAGATAGACAGACAGACAGACAGATAGATAGACAGATCGATCGATCTATATCTATATATCTCCATCAGTTACCTGCAATTTGCAAAGAATTGTAAAATAGTTCAAAGACAATTAACAGTCTAGATTATGTGCTATAGTTTTCCATTGAAACACATTTTTTAAAACATATCTAATAGGTATGTCTTAACTAGCGAATTCACACCACTCTTCAGTGAAAGGACTATTTATTGATCATCTGCCCATGTGTTGCAGGTTGCTGTCTACTTTTCAAAATTTGAAGAAAGATTTTCATTAAAAGATTTTCACTAGAAGTAATTAAAAATCAAAACCCAAATCAAAACAGAACACACAGGAAGCTGTGCTCCTCACATGGATGACGACGTTTCCTGGCGATTACAGCTCTCAGGGTGACATCCGTGTAGATGGTTCTGTAACTCTGTTACAATGAAAACCTGCCGCCCTGTGGGAACAGAGCCGGGTGAGTCCTGGCTTCCGCACAGTGCCACCCTGAGAAGGCGAGGTCTCCGCAGCGTCTGTCTGCCGTGCAGCCGGGGCAGAGGAATGAAGTGTCACAGCAGGAAGCAGATGGCTGCATTTGCAGATAATCAGTCTAGAGACTTGCAGCCCTGAGTTAAGTAGCACCCTGTTGCTGGAAGGCATCTAATGAACTAAGCTGTTAGTGTTCTTGCTTGTCAGATAGCCCTGAAACACTGTATGGTTTTTTTTGTTTGTTTGTTTGTTTTTGTTTTTGTTTTGAGACGAGTTTCTCTCTGTGGCCCAGGCTGGAGTGCAGTGGCGCGATCTTGGCTCACTGTAACCTCCGCCCCTCCAGACTTAAGCAATTCTCTGCCTCAGCCTCCAGAATAGCTGGGATTACAGGCGCCTGCCACCAAGCCCGGCTAATGTTTTTTTTTTTTTTGTATTTTTAGTAGAGACGGGGTTTCACCATCTTGGCCAGGCTGAGCTTGAAGTCCTGACCTTGTGATCTACCTGCCTCGGCCTCCCAAAGTCCTGGGATAACAGGCGTTAGCCACTGTGCCCGGCCGGAACACTGTATGGAATTTATAATCATTTTCTTGAGACTGACAAAGTCTAAATTCTTGCTGATCATTGACAAGTCTAAATTCTAAAGAATGCTACCCATGGATGGAACTTTTTGCTAAAACTTGAGAAAAAGAGGAGAAGTAACAGCAGTGGTGCCCCGTAAAGGTTTCCCAAACATGGAGGAATCCTGGTACAAACCATGCCTTTGACCCACAGCGGAAGGAGGAGCACAGCACAGCTGGGATCAGGAGGACTCTGAAGTCTCCTGGATGTGGCAGGAGCAGGCTCAGCCACTGTGTGCAGCATGTGTCCTTGAGCAGGTCAGCTAAACTGCTTGGGTCTCACATCCCTGCCATTCATGGTGTCAGGGCTTGCCCTGACTTTGTGCCAAGATCAGAGCCCGGGCCCACAGCAGGGAGAACCCAGGCAGCGGGAGCAGGCACTTCCAAGCTTGCAAGGGGAGGCGGGGCCTTCCCTGCTCCCAAGACTGCAGGGATGCCAGAGGCTGCAGTGGCAAATTTGGGCAACTGCAGGTGCACAGGGTGGGGGCTCCTGCCTACTCCATCGAGCTGGTGGCCCCGGTCTGCAGCCTGGGTTCCGGCGGCTTCCGCAAGCGCAGCAGCACCTAGAAGCATGCAGGGCTCCGGCCTACTCTCAGCCCTCCAAGAGCAAACAGAGGCTCGTGTCTACCGCCCCAACTTGGACAGCTGGAGACTCGTGGGAGAGACTGGGGGTGCTGCTGCCTGCTACTGGCTCCCATCCATCCCGTGGAGCACACACCCCAACTGTGACCCCTTGCAGCCTGAGGCAGGGGCTCCAGATCCTTGCTGGGCCCAGGCCAGCATCCAGGGCAGGGGCAACATGGCCACGAGCTCCCCCTGTTGCCCAGTACTCAAGGGTGGCCCCAGGCAGAGTGGATCGCGGGCCCCTGGCCCCGCCGTCGGGAATGACAGGTTTGGCAGTCACCCCGACGCCAGGCAGATTCCAGGGATAAGGTCTGGGCAGCCCCCACGCAGAGCCTCCTCCCGCGGCCCGAGAACCCGGCACCCTCCGTGGGGTGGGCACAGTGGCTGCCCAGCTGGCCAAGTCCCCTAAGCGGGTGTGACTATCACTTCCTGCCCCGGATCCCCGATTGCCACCCAGCTCCTCATCAGGCCCCTTTCTGCCCCGAGGAGCTACTCCCCCAGTGCGCCCTTGCCCCAGGGCAGTGGGCGAACTGGACCCGGCCTGCCTCCACCCCGGCGGCCCCCAGGGCAACGAGTGGAGGGAGGGGACTGTCCACCTCTTCCCTGCACAGCCCTGCAGCAGCCTGCGCGAGGGCCGTGGCCAGGCCGAACCAGATGGCCCTCTGCTGCCATCACAGGCACTAACAGGAATCAGCCTTCTGCATCCAGGCCTTGTGTTAATGTGTGAATGACAGAGCAAAAGACCCCAGGGTGTGAGGCAGGAATTTGGACATCAGAAGGAGGAGAAACAGGATGAAGCTCCCCGAAGGAATAACCATCCCCGCTGTGTCCTACACACACCTAGAACCCTTTAGCCAGGAGAAGGGAGAACAGACTGACTGTGGAATACATAGGATTTTTCTGTTAACCTGAATGTACCACCAGATGGAAGGAGGTTCAAGAACATAAGTCTGTGCCTTGAAGATTAAACTCTGACCTTTTTCTTCTCCTGCCCAAATTCCTACCTAAGGGGCCTGGGGAGGTCGCCCTACAAACCACAAAGTCTCATCGGAGGGGCCCTACCCTGTGTAATGCGGCTCTTTCCAACCTGACTCTGGCATAACTTCACATGACAGATAAGGAAGAAAATGAAAATATTTTAACCCTAAATATGTTTCTTGGCCATATATTGAAATGTCCCTGCAAAGCTGTTTCTTGTGGGAAAAGGGTCCATTCTGTAGAGAATCCTGTTCCCTTTCCAGGCCTTTTTCCTGATCCAGGACAGAGTCCACTAAGTTTCTGGCACCTTTTAAGTCTCATAAACATTTACCATCGATTCTCTCTAAGCCTGCCACCTGGAGGCTGCATCAGCTTAGTAAGGACCTTGGTCTCCACAACCGCTTGTCCTAACCCAGACATTTCCTTTCTATTGGTTCCAGGTCTTTAGATGAACTCTCAACCAACTGCCAGTCAGAAAATCTGTGAATCCGCCTGTGACCTGGAAGCCCCTGCTTCCAGTTGTCCCACCTTTCCGGTCTGAACTGATGTACACCTGAAATGTACTGACTGATGCCTTATGCCCCATAGAATACATGAAGCCTAGCTGTGCCCTGACCACCTGGGCCACATGTTCTCTGGGTCTCCTGAGGACTGTGTCACGGGCCATGGTCACTCATGTTTGGCTCAGAATAAATCTCCTCCAGTATTTTACAGAGTTTGGCTCTTTTTATTGACAACCTTTTAAAATGTCAAGTCAGGATAGGATCTCACCACACATGGCACCCAAAGGCGTGCTGGCTGCCCACTAACTATTCCAGTCGACAGAGCCAGGTACAGGGGTCAGAGCCACAGCAGCTCCCGTGGGCCAATGAGGAGGCCCGGCTCGGGAGGAGGCTCCGTCTCTCCACACCCAATGGAGGCAGCTCTGCTCCTGAGCTCAGGGTGGGCTTCACCTGGAGTTAGGAGTCGGGGGCCTGAGTCCTGCTTCCTCATGGCTCTGGTGCCCAAAAGGATGAGCAGTCACAGTGAGACGGGGCCTGACCCAGCGTGCACAAGCCCGGGAAGGAAAGGAGTGAAAGGACCTGCTTCCCCAGGGACCAGAGCAAAGAGGAGAAAGAGAGTAAGTGATTGATGTCGCCTGGGTTAGAAGGAGGCAGTAGAGAGGGGCAAGTTAGCGTTAGGGGCTTACCTGGGCAGTCACAAAGGGCTCCACAGGCAGACGAGCCTGTAAACCAAAAATACATTTCTAAGGTCCCCCAACGGATACGGAATGGATGGGTTCCTGACTAAACTCCGCCTTCTAGCCTAGAACTTTGGCCCTAAGTGAAAACAGCTGACTCGTTTGCCTTTTTGGCCCTCCTTGTTTCCTATCCTGTGCCCATAAAAAGACTTCAGCTGGCAGAGCAAAGAAGCTGCTGAGGCAAGCAGTCAGAGATGTAAGCTGCTGAGTGGTGAGGATGCAAGGGGCTGAGTGGCAGAGACTACAGATAGACAGCGCTAACTTCAGATGGTGTCGTTTTCCGTGGGGAGCCCAGCCGGGGATGGTGGGGCTTCAGGGCAAGATCACCTTCTTTCCACACCATCCCCTTTCCAGTTCTGCCTTTGTCATCATTCAAACAGTCTGTGTGACCTGATTCTTCCCAACACTGAACAAGAACTTGGGTGTCAAAAAGGGCAGGTGCAGAAGGCTGTGACCCTGACCCTTTGCTGGGCTTTGAACACTTAGCTGTCCATAGACTGTACGCTGAGTGAAATGAGCCACTTCAGTTTCTTCCCCACAAAGGGGGTCAAGGTCAAAGGAAAAATCCCATCTCACAACCATCTGAATGGATTTTCTCCTTGGCCAGGACACTCTTAAATTTAACCTAAAAGACTGGTTCAGGCCATGACAGAAAGTGGGGTTAAGACAGGCCTCATATACCTCTCCAGCGTCAACATCAACACAAACCCCCCACCCAGACCTCTATGCGGCCTCTGGGCAGGTGTCCTATGTTCTAGCTTCTCAGCTCTCTAGCAGGGCCGGCTGCAGAATTTAGGGGCCCAGGGCAAAACTCAAATGCAGGGCCACTCACACATTCCTCTCAGTCACACATCGGGCCCCTCCTGCCGCCTCATCCTGGTCCCAGTGGGCCACCAGGTAAAAGTGTCACCCTTCAAAATCTTCAATTGCTGCAATTTCATTTTTAAAGTTTGTTTTCTCTGTCCCTGCACAAAAGGGTTGTTTTCAAAGTTACGCTGATTAGACAGAAGTGGACCTTTGTCCCGGCTGAGGCCCTCCCATGGGTACCCACCCCTTGAATGGCTGATGCTAGACGGCAACAGTGTTGACCGAATCCAGGCAGTTTCAGGCCACAGCCAACTGGGGAGACAGCAATGAGTGTTGGACGGTTGGGGTCCTCTCGGCCCCGCCATGAAACCTGAACTAACTAGACAACTTTATCCAGAGCTGGACATGACCCTTTGGGCCATGCAGCTCGGTGGTCACCATTGGCCTAGCGGTCAGGCCCAGCTTCAGCCTGTGGCTTCCCCGGCTACCAGATATGGAACCTGGGACCAGACACTGAGGCTGATTAAAGTTTTCACCTCAAACAGCCTTACGGTTGTGTGTACCAAGAAGGTGGCAGAAACCAGACAGCAAGTGCCTGCTGCACAGAGAGCGATTAATGAAAGTGTGTGTGTGTGTGTGACTGGTGCATATATGTACACACTTATTTTAATTTAGGAAAAAGTGTTTTCTTTCTCTCCTTTCTTCCTCTCTCTGTCTTTCTCTCTCTCCTTCTCTCTCTCTCTTTCTCTCTGTCTTTCTCTCTCTGTCTCTCTCTCTCTCTCCTCTCTCTCATTCTCTTCTTTCTTTCACAGGGTCTCCCCGTGTCAGACAGGCTGGAGTACAGTGGTGCAATCATGGGTCACTGCAGCCTCAACTTCCTGGGCTCAAGAGATCCTTCCACCTCAGCCTCCCAAGTAGCTTGGACTACAGGCATGCAACACTGTACCTGGCTTTATTATTATTATTGTTATTATTATTATTTTGTAGAAATAGGTTCTCACTATGCTGCCTAGGCTGGTCTCCAACTCCTGAACTAGAGTGAGCCTCACTCCTTGGCCTCCCAAAGTGCTGGATCCACAGGCATGAACCACTGTGCCCAGCCCCCACACACATTTTTTAGTCATTGCTGACGGGGTTTTGTCCTGGGTGTGTTGCTGGGTCTGACGAGAACTTCCTCAACAGGTTCCTGATGCAAAACCCCGCGTTTCTCCCTTGAAAGGGGGCACCCAGCTTCGAGGTTGCTCTCATCTCTGAGACAGACCTCTGTGTTTCTTCCCTTCTGCTATCACCTTGTTGAAGAGGGCCCTGCTCTGAGGGCTGCCAGAGGGGCCTGGGCCTGCGGTATACCTGCTCCCCGCACATCTCAGAAGCAAAGGCTGTGCACAGCCGCTCAGGCCACCCGTGTGGCTTCTGCCCCTGGTAGGAGTCCTCCTGTGCTTCCGGGAGCCGGTGCCACAGCTTGTCTCTGACTGAACGCGCACTGGCAGAGGCGTAGAATGATGAGCTCTTAGAGTGTGACCGCAGTTAGGGTCCAGCCAGGGAAAGGCTTCGTCCTCCTAATGATTGTGGGACTCAGTACGTCTGTCATTAGAGGAGGCCTGATCGACAGGCTCAGCCGCCCTGGTGTTCTGACTCTTCTTCCACTCACTGCACAGAATGAAGCTGGAGGAATATTGCTACAAAAGAATGATCATGGCAGGAGGCGGGGTAGAGCAATGTCAGGTCACGGTGCTTCTTGCACTGAAATATTAAGGCAGTTGTAATGATCTTTATCTCACACAAATGAACAGAGTGATGAAGAAGACTCAGAGAAAGGCAGCTGAGAAGAGCAACAAGGTAGAAAGGCGGACTTAAAGTAGAAAAATAAAAATTCATCCAGCACCTCCTAAGGTCAGACATTGGTCAAGAAGCACCCAAATAGTTCAGGTCATTTAACTTTGCTCAAATGCCTCAAGGCAAGTATCACAACTCCTCTTGCTTTAGACATGAGAACGTCAAGGCTCCTGAGGGCTGAGTAAGGAGCCCTGGTTTGTGTGAGTACAGCTAACACAACAGGTGTTAAAGCCCAATCTTCAGGGGCTTAATCCAAGAGAAGTTAACTTTCGCTTAGAAAAAGTTCAGCAGCACAGTTCCTGGTGGATAAGCCACTTCCCACGAGCTCATTCCCAGGCTGTCTCTGTGTCTCCCCATCCTGTCCACCTCCAAGGGCTTCAAGTCCTCGGAAGGTTCTGGATCCAGCCTGCATGGAGTGCAGGGCCCCTCTGCTCATTTCCATTGCTGAGCCCTACAGGAGATGCTGGGATTGGAGCTCGCCTTGTACCCAGGGTGGAAGGGAAGTGCATTTTGTGAACACATAGCACCCAGGCCAGGTACCCAAAGCCACACAGCTCTAGCAGCAGCCTACATCCCGACACAGGTCAGGCAGCGAAGTCCAACCTCATGCTTTCTCTGACTTGAGTTTACTGAACCTCAGAGTCCTCTCCTGCAGAATGGGGAAAACGTCTCCTTCACAGGATTGCCAGGAGAATGAGCAGAGAAAATGCCTGTGGAGGAGGCTCCTGGATGCTTAGTTATGGACAAGCACCAGGAGAAAGGGTGGTGTTGGAGTCTCTCCTTAGCTCTCAGAGATCATCACGAAGAGGGTCCTGCTTCCGGCCCATGGCAGAGTGTGTCCGAGAGGCCACCTCTCACCTCCCTCCCCGGCCTCACACACGCAGTCGGGACTGGACTTCTGATGGCAATTCAGTGATGCTCAATCAAAAACCAGCAGGGCAGAACAGGAGATGGGAGCAAACTAAGCTATAATTTCACTAACTTCAGGGGAGCCTGACACGGAAATATGTATACATTGTTTGCCTTAAAGTGAACAATAGAGAATAACTACCCTATCTTCAAAGCAGCTTTCCAAGATCAAATCCGTTGCATCCGGAATGCCTTTCTTTGATCTTGGAATCTCCAGAAGTGGCCAGGACCCCCCCACAGAGCACATGCAGCGTTGCCTAGAAGCCGGTAGCTCTCCCGTAGAACGCTGGGAAGCAGCCAGCTGTTCATGTGGGAGTGTCAGCGTGCGTTCCTTTGTCAACGTCCTGCAAGACAGAAAAGGCAAGAACGTCAGTGATGGCTCCACTGACTGATTAAGGCAAAGAAAGTCGCCACTGTGCGTGATCACCCTGACTACGCTGGACAGAAACAGGGCATTTGCCCAAGTCCCCCAGCAGCTGTCTTTGTTTCCCACTTCGATTTGCTAACGGGCAATGGGGCTCGAGCTCACTCTGCTCCTTCAGGGAGTGGCTTGGAGACCAGGTAAGACTTCAGTGTCTCCAGGAGCCTGTGAACCCGGCGCAAGGCTCTTCAGACTCAGGGAGGGTGACACACAGTCTTCAGACACGGAACTCAGGCTGTCAGTGGTGGGGAGTAAGTGAAAAACCCCACAGGCCCTGCACTGTGTCCACACATGTTATTGATCTTAGCCGTGTGGCCCAGAGAACACAAGCTCTTACAGCCTCTGCCCAGGGGCAGCCCAGGAAGCTGCCAGGGATGAGTGATTCCCTTCCCTTTCCAGAACCTGAGATGGGCGCAATTACCTCCATGGCTGAGAACCACTGTTCTAATCCCTTGCTTGACTTCAAATCATCGTATTTCAGACTTAAGATGTCTGGACCCAGCTGATTAATCAGCCTTTCCCTGGAGCCGTCTGCAGGGTAGGATCAGAGGAACCCCAGAAATGTTCTGCCCACTGGGAAGATTTCATTTCACTGCTGTCTTTCAGGGATGTCCTAGAGAGGGGCCACAGTGCTGCAGCTGTCCACTTCGAGTGGTGCCTGCATATCGTGCAGAACCATCTGTGAACCAGGCCCTCGTCTTCTCTTCGTCTGTCAACTGCTCACGGGAACTCCCCATGAGGCCATCGGTGCAGGCTGGGGAGAGAAGGCAGGTGGCAGGAGTGGAGACCATGGGCATTTGAGCCACTTCCTCGTTTAACTTACTTGTGCCTTCAGGACCTGCTTGAGCCCGATCACATATATACCCCTTCCATTGGATGCTAGAACACTGCTGTGCACGACCCACTTTATGGCGATGGGTCAGAAAGCACCCAGTTCACGATAGACGGTTCAGGTCGCATGGTGACTTGATGACCCACAGTCAAACGTTCAGTTTCCACCGAAGCCCAGTACCAGGCCAATAGCTGGCTCTCAAAAGGAGAGTAGTTATCTGCAGAAGATGGCAGGGCCCTGTTCCAAAATCCTAGAGACCACCACTGTGATTCACCTATGGGAGCCTGCCAAAGGCTCTAACAGCATC